AAGATATGATCGATGATCGAGATTGACACAATTTCATATCTCGTAATTGATCGGATCATATTGACGAAGGGATTATAGTTTCACGGTAAACTAACGATTTTGATTTTGTCATACCATGTGACATTTCCCGTCACATGTATTGTCCTGATATATTGCTAGATGTCAATCTGGGACGGTGAGTGTGAATTTGTGATAAATTAAAATGGTGTTTAATTTATCAGTTTTGATTAGATCAAAAATAATATTTCACGTCGTTAAGTATCGTGATCGGGAACCTAATGGGTCGCACACAAAAGATAATTGGAAGATTGCAAATTCCCAATTGATTAATTTAACAATCATTGGATAAATTAATTAATTGAATTTGTTATTTCTATTCCCGAATTAATTAATTGAATTAATTAATTCACGGACCGGATTTAATTAAATGGATTAATTAAATATTGGACCAGGCGGGGCCGAGCCCGTTTGGATTTATATAAATACATGGCTAGGGTTTGAGATCCATAAGGTTTTCATTATTCTTGCTGGCATAAGAGGAAAAACCCTAGCAACTGCAGTCTATTCTCTATGTGGATTTCATTGGAGGCTGGATAATTGGATAGCTGTGGGAGGCAGATTCAAGTTGCTGGAAAAGAATAACGCAAAAAAGTTTGCAAAATCAAGAAAAAAAAGGTATATTTCTCATCACAGTTCTTATCTAAATACAAAGTTGAATCCTGAATGGGAATTGAAACTATTTAATTCCGCTGTACATGTTTAAGTAAATTCCCAACACTTCGTTCCGATTGATGTGAAGAAAACAAAATATAGCTATAAAAATTCAATATCCCTAGCATTTTTTATGGTTCAAAGTGCATAGGGATTAGGAAATATGATATTTTTTTAGCACAAATGAGACTACTTTATGAGAGTAACAAAAGAAATATATGGTTCTCATGAACAAAGATTCATATTAGAAGTTCATCTATCGTCAAATTTCATTAGTAAACGAAATTGTGTTAGAAGTCACTACACCAAAAATAATCATTTGCAACATATAAAAGGCAACATTCGGTAGTTAAATGTTGCAAAAGAGATTTATTGCAATATTTTAATAAGTGAATGTTGCAATTAGTTCATGGAATTGAGTTTTGGCAACAATGTTGTCAATTTTATTTTCACAACGTTGTTTTAACGTTGAACGTTGCAAAAGGATACTTTTTGCAACGTTCAGCAAATGTTGCGAAAAGTCTAGCATTTTGCAACATTCGGCAAACATTGTGAAAAGTCTAGTATTTTACAACGTTTAAAAAACATTGCAAAATGCTATTTTTTGCAGCGTTTGTCGAACGTTGCAAATGGATATATTTTGCAACGTTTTTCGAACGTTGCGAAAAGTCTAACTTTTGCAACGTTTAATAAACGTTGTAAAATGCTTTATCTTTTAAAAATTATTATTTTATCATTTTTAAAAATTATATATTAAATTACCGACAAAATTACCAACAGAAGTCTTCCGTTGGTATTATTCCAATGGTAATCCGTTGGTAAAAAAAAATTAAAAAATTTACCAACAAATTCACTGATGGATATTTCTGTTAAAAAAAAAAAGAATAAAATAATTACCAATGTAGAAAATTTGTTGATAAACTTTTAAGTAAAAAAAAAAAAATTATTAATAGTTACCATTTTTCTAAACTTCACGCAATTTTCCTCCTACTTAAATTTTCATTTCCCACTAAAAATTTTCTATTTCTCTCTAAAATTTTTATTTTTCTACTTTCATTTCTTAAGGCTTTTCGCATCCCTACTCAAATACTTCATTTCCCCGCTTTGCAAATCCCTAATCCTAACTCGTCTCTTGCAGCCTCCCTCCTATCTCATCTGGGCTTTCCATGTCTCGTTCACTGAGAGGGCTTCTGCCTCTGGTTACCTCCCTCCTACCTCTTTATCCCATTTCTATTATTGGCTATTGCTTTCACTGCTGGTTACTCTTTCATATATAATAGACAGAGGGTCATTTTGTTGCTGTAGTGAACAAGGTAAGATTTTTTGTTGTTTCATTTGTCTATCTGTTATATTTAAATACTATTGTCGTGGAATGCCCTTTTCATTTGAAACGTTCGTACTTCAAATTGGTGCAGGTTTGTTATGGTTTAAAACTCCAGTTTTCTTGGTCATGTTTTAGAGATGGGCTTTTTTTTCCATGAGTGCTTCTGTCAATTATTTGGCCTTACTAGTTCATTTCAGTAGTTGTTAGCTCCCACTTTTTGATATTTTTTTGATATTTTAGATGGTATTATTAAGTTTATGCCTTTTTCCTTGGAAATGGAATATATAAACAATACAAGGATTACATAGTGATGCCAGGATTTTTAAATTGCCAAGTATAGATACAAGCGATTCACAGCAAGAGTCATGTTTGCTACACCTTTAGCTAAAATTTATTAAAATAAGAGTACTCGGGTGCTGCTTATGGATTTGGTTAATGTGGTGGATATTCATGGAAGCCATGGGATTGAATTATTTGTTGGATATCATAGTGATACATGAGCAACTTCTCATTCCCCCCGTTTGTTACAAAATTAAAAATATGTATTTTAGTGCTATTTAATTTTTAAAACAAACTCTGTTTGGGTTCTTTCAGAATTTGAGACTTGCTATCCCTGATTATTGTCCCCTTTCCATGAGGGCGTTGATTGATCAATGTTGGTCTGTGCAACCGGACAAGAGGCCCAAGTTTTGGCAGATTGTGAAGGTATTGTGAAGGCTTTGGCAGATTGTGAAAGATCATGCATTTGTGCCTATTGTTGTCATTAATAACTCGGGTGATTGCATTTGTGCTGCCTCTATATATATGATTTTCTTTTCATACCATAACCATCAATAGTGCCATTTTCTATGTTTATGTCTCATGTTTGAATTCCCCCGCTCTCTCTCTCTCTCTTCTGCAACACAATAATACCTTTGGCGATAGTCGTGATACAAAGAAAGTTGACATTCCTAGATATGCTGTAAGTCTCTTGATATGGCAGATAATCATTAGTTTATACTCTACTTTTATGAATCGTTCAGTTAATTGAGTGGAATCGTAGTTTCATTTATAAAATTATGCTTCTTTAGTGAATGCTTTAAGCTTATATACCAAACAAAGAAAAATCCACTACTCATTGTATCCTGTAGTTTTCTGTGTTTATTAGACTTTAGTCAGTGCCACGAGCATATATATTAAGTGGTGTTTCTTTTCTAGTTAATAGATTGTACTCCACTTTATTTGGCTGTTATATGTAGTATATGCTGTCAGATTTATATTAAGGCTATGCTTGGATGAAAGGATGGAAAACGAGGAGGGACGGATAATTGCAATATGGATTTTCTGTCCTTCGAGGAAACAAAACTATTTTCCTTCATCTGGCTGGGAATAGGGGTGGAAAATGAGAGGAAAAGAAGAAAATATGAGAGATGAAAAATAACTGTTCTTTTCCTCCCAGTTTTCATTCCATATAAACAATAAAAATTACTGCCCTTTCATTTGTTATCCTTCCACTTTCACATGGACCAGTACTTTCTGCCCAACCAAATTCTAGAGGAAGATATATGATAGTGATAGAAATTCCTTAGGCTCTTAATCTTTTTTAGTTGGAAACTGGTATACATTTTACCTACTGCTGCTGCCCCTTTATGTTGCAAGTGTTTGAATTAAACAGCCTTAATATTTCAGAAAATTCAAATTAAACATGCAAGAAATTGCAGGATAATTCAAAATTATATACCTGTTTCCAAGAACTACATGCAATTCAATAATCAAATTCTCTTCCTCCTGAGAAAATGTCCCTCTTTTCAAATCAGACCTTAATTAATTAATCCACCTTAACCTACAGCTCTTTCCCTACCGTTGAAGCCCTTCAAGATTATCGCACAACAGTGTGATCAGAAACGAAAAACACGAAAATAAAATCGAAAATGGCTAACGAAAAATAAAGTTATTACCTGCTAGTTTAGGGACAGAACTTCAACATCCATGTCCATATTTAGTTATGTGCTTTATAAGTTTTTCGTCTTCTTCAGGAGACCACGGACCTTTCCTTAACTACATAAATGCCCAACTTAAAAGTTCAGCTTGGGTCTCAAAATCTCAATTACAGCCTTGGTTGAGTTATTCGGTAAATATGAATGTATGATTAGTCAATGTAGGAATTTGTTGTTGTGTTTTATGTAATATAGGATTTTGTTCTTCCTTTTGGTGTATGATATATATATATATAGATCTTCCTAAGGTCATTAAAGAAGTTCTTCATATCAGACAATGTCGTCATTCTTAAATTCAAAAACTAGAAATTTCCAAATACTAACTTTCCTATATTGTTTGTTAAGGAAATTCTACCCAAATGAGTGATGAAGTTGGAGCTGTGTTTCTAATGAAGAGAAAGGTTCCGATGAAGAGGAGTTTTACAATGCTGAAAGGAATTCCTATCTTTTGTGTATTCAGGGTTTAAATCTTATGTAACTAATGCTTAACGCAAACAAATTTTTTTGTATATCCACGCTATTAAGTAGCCAACTATACTATAGCACTGCCTTGCACGTGTATTCAAAAATATGTAATGAAATTATCAATTTTTATGCAATTACAAAATTTGTCATTTTCAATTTTGCGAGTCAATTTACATAAATTACTGTATAAAAAAAAATGTTGCAAAACACTTATGACAACTTTTTTTAAACATTGCGGTAAGTATCTACGGCAACGTCAAAATGACGTTGCCGTAGATACTTACCGCAACGTTTAAAAAGCGTTTCTGTAAGTGCCTACGGCAATGTTTAAAAAATGTTGTCGTATCCTTCCATTCTACAACAACATTGAAATTTGCAATATACGTCCAAACGTTGCAAAAGGTCTACAGCAACATTTTTTTGAACGTTACAAAAAGCTTTTTTTGTTGTAGTAAGTGATATTTCAATTTTTCATAGAAGAGTAAAAAATTATGGGATTTATGTTCAAAGAAAAAAATGGAGAAAAACCATGTACCAGAACAAACAATACAATCAAGAAATATGGAGTTTTGTTGAAACTCCGGAAAAATTAAAAAAACCTACGTACGATAACACACTCAAACACAAAAAAGAAACAAGAATGAAGGAAATTTTGCTAAAAGAGGAAAATGAGAGAAAATCCACATACTAAAACTTCATTCTTCAGCACTGTGCTCCTCCTTCGTCACCATCTAGACTTCCGATCTCCAGGCGAAGTACGAGTCCTTGGCATCAACAATATATAAAAACAGAACAGAACCTCTATGATTTTACAACCTATTATTTGATTTGAAATGGAGGAGATATTTTGTGATATTTTAGAAATTTGTATTTGGAAAATGGGACCTAAAATCACAGAAATAAGAGCCAATAGAGAAAGAAAGGAGAATGGAAGAAGTGTCCTGAAAGATAGAGATTTAAAAAATAAATAAATAAATAAATAAATAAAATAAAAGAAAAATTAATACTCACATATATGACGTCATCATGATGTCTTGATGACGCCTTATGAATAATAAAGAAGTCTTCTCTTTTATTTATTGTATGGAGACAACGGAGCACATTAAAAAATACACTTAAAAGATACATTTTGCAGCAAAAAGTATGCAAAATTTCCATTTTTCTGTTATTATGATAAATTGAACCAAAGATGACGTGTTCATCTACTTCAAACTATAAATGTACAGTGTTAAATCAGCCAATGTAGAAATAAGTCATGCTCCAAAATGATTTTCTTTTGAAAAATGACAAGTTTACTTGAAAAAAAAAAATGGAATACACAAAATAATTGCAGGTTTATGATAATCAATTATAAGATTCACACCAACAGTTATCAAAGCAATAAACAGCATATACAAGTACCAAAATATTACTCAATGTATCACAAATATACAGTTTAATATGAATGCAGATGCATGTAAGATCTCCGGAAAATTACCAAATTCACCAGAATTCCATGAAAATCTGGTTCTCATATGAAGTCTCATTTTGGATCACCTCTTAAATCACAAGATCAAAAGTATCCAATGCTAATAAAGTATGAAAAGGATGCATGCAAGATCTCACCAAGAAAAAAAAATGTCACACTATCGAGTTTGAGTTCAAAAAATTCATGTCGGGGTGGTGGTCCGGAGCATTGACCACCATAAGCAACACGAATGTAAATAGCAATTTCCTATTCCAATTTTGGACCAACACAGTAGGAAATAATAAATAACTAAGTAGTGTAAGAAGACCATTTATTTACAAATGGAACTTAAGTTTTAAAAGCAAATTAAATAACTCAACTATTTAAGAACTTTTCTACCATTGATCTAGGGATGGCAATTCAAATTGTCAAAATCGAAAATCACAGTTAATCAAACTGAATGAGGCGAAAAAACGGAACCGATGGCGCAATGGGGTGGATATAGTATTTGATTTTAATGCCTCGATTCATGGGCTTTCCATTATTCTTTTTATATTTGTTATTCATCAACTTTCTTTTATTACTAATTTTTTCTCTATTGTGTGTAGAAAATTCTGCTCCTTCATCATACTCAGGAGCTTGTCCAAGGTTTAGTGAGGAGTACTTTGACGAAGCAGTACATATTTTTTTGTTTAAATCTTTGGTTAAGACCATTTTGAATTAGGTAGTATGATTGTATTATTACTCTACTTACATTTCTTATTTACTATATAGGAATCAACTTTGAGTTTGACCTATGCTAGTAAGAGTTATGGGGAAGAATGAAGATTAAATATGAATTGAAATTGGAGCTTTTAAGTTATTGAGTAGGAATCAAGTTCGACGCACAAGGATCAAAGGACAAGGTTGTTGTTTAGTATTGTTAAGTCGATAATATTGTCTATTAAATTCAAATTTTTCCTTTGAGAATTGAAATGTTGTTTGCATTTTCATTTGGGATATTGCTTACTAAACTGGCTTAGTATTGTGTTTTTGTTTTCATTGACTGTTTTTTTCATAAATTATTTTTCTAATTTGACGGCTGGACCTATAAATTAATTTATTTTTGTGGTTATTAACCACCCGAACCAAGCCAAGCCTAACCGAACCAACTTACGTGGTTATGATACGGCTAAAAAATTGGTGGTTCGTGATGATTTTGATCGAACCGAATAGTTGCCAACCCATTGACCTGAAGAAAACAAATACAACTACCGAAAGGAGAAAAATATAAAAGAAATACAAAATGCAAATTGTGTATCACAAATCTCATGTCACTAATAGTCTACTGCCCAAAAGTTGCAAATCCACTTGGGGGATTGCAAAACAATTGTAGAAATAGAGACTTTTTATCCTCTAATATCAAACTATTTATATTTTGTGAAGTTTTTATTGAAAATCGGGGGAAATCGAGAAAACCTACACTCTAAAAACACACTCAAACACACTAAAAAAATGCAAAAATTAAGGAATTTTTGTTGAAAGAGAGGAAAATCGAAGAAAATTCACATACTAAAACTTCTTCCTCCAATACTCTACCTCCACCGCAGTCGCCATCCAGACCTCCGATCTCAAGGCAATGTGCAAGTCCATAGTAGCAACGATAGAGGAGAACAAAACTTCTACGATTTTACAACCTATTGTTGGATTTAAAATGGAGAAGATGTTATGTGATTTTGTTAGGGTTTCTTCTTTGGAAAAGAGGATCTAAAATCAAAGAAATGAGAGATGATAGAGAGATAAAGGAAGAGGCAGCAACGACAGAGAAAAACAAAACCTTCGTAATTTTACAACCTATTGGGCATTTTAATATTAAAAATTCATTCATTATATTTTCTTTTAATAAGTTTTTAGGTTTTTAGAGTTAGGAAAGTGAAGAGATTTGAGGTTTGAAAAATGAAAGGTGAAAAAGGTTCATGTGTTTATGATACATCTTAATTTTGGGTGGCCTATTTTGTTGTGATGTATCATTCCTTGGCCATTCAAGAACACCACAACAATCACAATTCTTTTAACTTTTCTCCTTACATTCTCACTCATTTTCCTTAAGAGATTATTGAGCAAAGAAGAGTTTCTCTTTTAGTGGAGTTTTGAGCTCAACTATTTGTGCAGAATTTGTTGAGCCATATAACAAATATTCTAATTATTGTATCCTGAAGGAGACAAGTCATAGAGAAGTTCTACTGCACCGTGTTTTAGGTTTTGCCAATTGTAGAAGGCTTGGATTTCCTAAAAGAGAGCAAGATATCTGTGGCTCAGTCTGTTCGATTTCGTTATTTTCCTATTCACTTTATAACTCCATTTTTTTATTATTGAAATTTCACCAACAATTTTAAGAAGAGTCAAACAAATGGAGTTAGGACTCGAGAAGCCTATTGACAACGTCGGAGATCTCAATAAGCCCTTTTGTTATAAGGGAGCTCAATTTAAGTAGTGGAAGAGCAAAGTCATATTTTACTTCAATCTTCTCAAAGTCTCCTACGTCTTCATTGAAAAGAATCCAAACAAGCCCTTTATTGAAAATATGAACGATGAGGAACTTCAAGCTCATCAAGGGAGGTAGAAAAATACAATAGAGATGAGTATAATTGTCGGTGTTATATCTTCAATTGCCTAGCAGATAATTCTTATGATTATTACAATACTACTTACTCCTTCGTAAAGAAAATGTGGAAAGCTTTGTAGAATAAATAGGATACTAAGGAAGCTGGAGCAAAGAAATATGCTGCTAATTGCTTCGTTCGCTATCAAATGGTGGATGGAAAATCTATGGTAGAACAAGCACTAGATTTTCAAATGACTATTGCAGATGTTAGATTTGAAAGCATCAAAATTGGGGACAACCTTGTTGTGGCTGCAACCATTGACAAACGACCGCCATCACAGAGAGAGTTTCGAAAGTCAATGCGCCATATGTAGAAAGAGAAGTCCCTGGTGACCTTGATCACTCGCATCCATATAGAGGATAAAGCTAGAGGCCAAGATGCACAAATGCCACAAGAAAGCAATGGACATTCTGACACAAAAGGTAAATTTAATTGTAGAAAATAATCACTTACCCAATAATAGTTTTTATAGAAATAGTCAATTGAAGCCAAAAAAGAAGAATTTGAAAATTTATGGTAAACCTCACAATCGGGGAAACCCGAACCAAAAAAATAATAGCCAAGGCCCTTTTTCTCAAAATCAAATTTATGATGCATGTTGTCTCTGATAAAAACGGCATATTGCTCAAAATTGTAGATTTTGAAAACAGCAACCTTTTCCTCATGCTAATGCAACCGAAGAGTCACTTGTGGTAATGATTACAGACATTAACATGGTACAATATGTTGAAGGATGGTGGGCATATTATGGCGCCAATAGGTATGTCGACTATGATAAAGATTGGTTCAAGAATTACACTCCCTTCAAGGAAGAGAAAAACATCATGCTTAGTGATTCGAGAAAAACCAAGATTTTTGGGAATGGTGAGGTTGAATTGAAATTCACATTTGGATGTATGCTAACTTTGAAAGATATTTTACATGCACGGTCAATGAGGAAGAATTTGATGTCAACTTTTCTTCTTAATAAGGCTGGCTTTAGATAGACTATAGAATCTGATCAACATGTGATAGCCAAAAAAGGTTTATTTGTTGGTAAGGGATGCCTGCGACGGAATGTTTAA